TATTTTCAGGTATTTCAGGTATCAAAATGTTCAGCTCTCCAAGGACATTCATGCTTCTATTCAGAGATTTTCTAAACTTCATGCTTTATAAATATTTAGCTTTATTTTGAAAGTCTTGCCCCATTCAAATGAATGTACTTCAGCAAGCTTTCAGCTATTTCAGCTATCAAAATGTTCAGCTCTTCAAGGGCATTCATGCTTCTGTTCAGAAGTTTTCTCAACTTCATACATTTTAAATATTTAGCTTTATTTTGAAAGTCTTGCCCCATTCAAATGAATGGGAAATTATACTTCAGCATAATTTCAGCTATCAAAATGTTCAGCTCTTCAAGGGCATTCATGCTTCTGTTCAGAAGTTTTCTCAACTTCATACATTTTAAATATTTAGCTTTATTTTGAAAGTCTTGCCCCATTCAAATGAATGGGAAATTATACTTCAGCATAATTTCAGCTATCAAAATGTTCAGCTCTTCAAGGGCATTCATGCTTCTGTTCAGAAGTTTTCTCAACTTCATACATTTTAAATATTTAGCTTTATTTTGAAAGTCTTGCCCCATTCAAATGAATGGGAAATTATACTTCAGCATAATTTCAGCTATCAAAATGTTCAGCTCTTCAAGGGCATTCATGCTTCTGTTCAGAAGTTTTCTCAACTTCATACATTTTAAATATTTAGCTTTATTTTGAAAGTCTTGCCCCATTCAAATGAATGGGAAATTATACTTCAGCATAATTTCAGCTATCAAAATGTTCAGCTCTTCAAGGGCATTCATGCTTCTGTTCAGAAGTTTTCTCAACTTCATACATTTTAAATATTTAGCTTTATTTTGAAAGTCTTGCCCCATTCAAATGAATGGGAAATTATACTTCAGCATAATTTCAGCTATCAAAATGTTCAGCTCTTCAAGGGCATTCATGCTTCTGTTCAGAAGTTTTCTCAACTTCATACATTTTAAATATTTAGCTTTATTTTGAAAGTCTTGCCCCATTCAAATGAATGGGAAATTATACTTCAGCATAATTTCAGCTATCAAAATGTTCAGCTCTTCAAGGGCATTCATGCTTCTGTTCAGAAGTTTTCTCAACTTCATACATTTTAAATATTTAGCTTTATTTTGAAAGTCTTGCCCCATTCAAATGAATGGGAAAATTCTACTTCAGCATATTTTCAGCTAGCAAAACCATTCAGGTGTAAAAACGTTCGCATTTTCAGGGTGATCTTTCAGCACTCAGCATCCATACGCATTTTAAAAAAAAAATGCAATTTTCTAGTTATTATTATTATTCTTCCGTACGTTTTTGGCCCTTAACTAGTTGCGCATACTTTCAGCTAGAAAAACCATTCAGGTATCAAAACGTTCAGCTTTTTCAGAAAATGAAAAGTTGTATACAACTTTTTTGTAACTTTTATACTTTTTGAACTATTCAGCTTTATTTTGAAAATCTTGCCCCATTCAAATGAATGGGGAAGTTTTTGCTTCTGCATACTTTCAGCTATTTCAGCTATTAAAATTTTCAGCTGTTCAAGGAATGTTATGCTTCTCTTCAGAACTTTTGTAAACTTCATACTTTTGAAATATTTAGCTTTATTTTGAAAATCTTGCCCCATTCAAATGAATGGGGAAGTTTTTGCTTCTGCATACTTTCAGCTATTTCAGCTATTAAAATTTTCAGCTGTTCAAGGAATGTTATGCTTCTCTTCAGAACTTTTGTAAACTTCATACTTTTGAAATATTTAGCTTTATTTTGAAAATCTTGCCCCATTCAAATGAATGGGGAAGTTTTTGCTTCTGCATACTTTCAGCTATTTCAGCTATTAAAATTTTCAGCTGTTCAAGGAATGTTATGCTTCTCTTCAGAACTTTTGTAAACTTCATACTTTTGAAATATTTAGCTTTATTTTGAAAATCTTGCCCCATTCAAATGAATGGGGAAGTTTTTGCTTCTGCATACTTTCAGCTATTTCAGCTATTAAAATTTTCAGCTGTTCAAGGAATGTTATGCTTCTCTTCAGAACTTTTGTAAACTTCATACTTTTGAAATATTTAGCTTTATTTTGAAAATCTTGCCCATTTCAAATGAATGGGAAATTCCTACTTCAGCATACTGTCAGCTATTTCAGCTATCAAAATGTTCATTTCCTCAAGAACATTCATACTACTATTTCGAACTTTTCAAATCTTCATACATTATAAATATTTAGCTTTATTTTGAAAGTCTTGCCCCATTCAAATGAATGGGAAATTCTACACTCAGCATACTTTCAGCTATTTCGGGTATCAAAATGTTCAGCTCTCCAAGTACATTCATGCTTCTCTTCAGAACTTTTCTAAACTTCATACATTTTAAATATTTAGCTTTATTTTGAAAATTTGCAACTCAGGCCACCCATTGATCACTGTGCCGGAGACACACACACACACGCACATAGACACACACCTGGTCTAGATCACATATCAGCAAGCAAGCGCAGGCAGGGGTTGACCTACTCACACCAAATGACCAATAGAATCACTAACTATTGAAGGTTGCACTCCAGTCCAGGGCAGAGCAGTCTAAGAAGATAAATGTGTTGTAAAAACTTAATTCAGGATTCAGAAGCCAGTTTTCCTGCGGGAGCTCTGTCTCTCTGAATCCAGCGCTGTAAGACCTACCTGTGATCAGACTTTCAGTAAACTTTGTTGATTTTAAACAGTCCTCTCCTGTCTTCACTTCTTGTGCTTCCAACAAAAGAATTGGGTTAATTTCTAACAGTCCTATTGGACTATTTTCACATCTCAATAAGTTCAGCATACCTTCAGCTAGAAAAGCCATTCAGGTATCAAAATATTCAGCTGTTTCAGCAATTGATTTCAGACATTTTCAGAACGATCTTTCAGCTTTTATTAGCATTCACACGCATTTTCGACAGGAAATGCATTTCTCTAGTCTGCCACTAAAAATGGTTTCAAACAGGCTATTTCTCTCTCTCTCTCTCTCTCTCTCTGTGTGTGTGTGTGTGTGTGTGTGTGTATCTAGGCTACTTTATTATTTCTGTGGTTTTTCAAGTAAGGTAGCTACCAATAGGGACACCAGGGGGTGCTGCTCCCTTATTGATACATTAACAAAAAATGAATAGGTCTTGCACTATGCATTACAGTTTACCCTGTCAAGCAAAGTCTGCAGAATTTTGGATACAGGGATCAAAATGTAAACCAAAGAGCTGTCAAACACTTGGTTTGATTTCACAGAGGGACAGCACAGTCCAAACACTGGCATGTGTCACAGTCTGTGAATATGGGGAACAATGGAACTCGACCACAGCTTCTAACAGTATGGGTGCTCCTCCATAACCAACTGAAGGAACTTGACATTAATTTGAGAGCATAAATTTTATTTATGATTAGCACACAGAGGTTTATTTTGTTTTGCTATGCAAATGCTGCTGGCGACCTGTGTCTTGCTGAAGGACATGAACAACCGGGGATCAAATGTCCAACCCTGTGATGTGTGCATGAGTTTGAGTAGCTTGATCTGTAGTTACATGGCGATAAACATCACATATTTTGACTGATGTTCATGCAGATCTCAGGTTTATTACAAAGTTCAAGGTGGTGTACACAGTAAGCATGTCACTGCAATGCCAATATGCTAACAGACATAAAGCAGCTTTAAACCATGGAATAAGTGTGACTTATTCAGACTATTGCCAGATATTGGCCTCATTAAGAACATGATGTAAACATTGCAATGAAAACTAAATCACAGTAGTCAGTCAGAAGTGAGCAGCAGATAGCAAGTGGGAGATTTTCAGTCAGGCATGTGACAGGACAACTTAGAGTGAGGCCCTGATTGTTGTCATTATCCACTTCCTGGGTTTAGCCGGGTGGGTAGTAGAGGATCAGTGTATATTTACGAAAGTGCATGTTGTATATCAGTGTGCAAGGCAGCTGTGTGCGTGTCAGTGTCCAACTCACATGGAGTGTAATTAAACTCAGCAAGAAACTAAACGAGAAAGGACGAAGAGGAGGCAAGAGCAACCTAAAGTTAGTCAAGAAGGCATAAGGAAGAGAGAGAAGAGGAAGAAGAGCTGAAGAGCGTGAACACTGGCTGACAGTCATAGGCATACTTGATTACTGCTGTCGTGATACTGATTGCACCACTACTGAGTGGAGACGTGGAGAATAATGCTGGGAAGGATGATCTCGCCTTCAGGACTCAACACTAATCCCTATCTACACAGCTACAGTACACATACCTCTTGTCTTGTAAAAGACCTTTGGCACATGGATAATTGACTTTGTAGCTTCTGTTGAGTAGCCATGTTTGAAGTGCTTGAGAAGTTTACGTGCAGTAGTAATTCTTTGTAGTATTATTAAGTGTTATACTTCTAAGGATGGCAGTTTGAGTTTATAATACTACCCTGCTTAATTGTTCAAGAATCATATTTGGTAGACAGAACTTTTATATCTCAATTTCTTTAGCCTTAACATTAAATTGTGCAGTACTGCTGTGGATAAATCTGGAGCAGAATACAAGCAGCATATACTTGGAGTATAATGCAGTATTTAACCAGAATAAGTGAGAGAATGGGGAGCTTGTCTCATTTTAAAGACAATTCCATTTGCAGTGTGGAGGTTTTGTAGCAACCTACAGTCAGCTCCTCTACATGGCACTGCTTTAAACACCAAGAATTACTTGGGGAATATTTGGAATATTTTAAGGAACATTTGGAATCGTCCTGTAGGGTTGCTTGGACCACACCAGGAATTTTCAAAACTTTTGTCTCCTTTCTGAGAATACTGTAAATTTTGCAAGGACTACCAAGAATTCCTGTAGTTGTAGCTTATCCTGGCAAAATGTGATGGGGCATGAGGTCACAGGTGCTCAACATATCGTGTACCATGGATCTGAACACAGGAGCAGACACTGATCTGGGACATGGGGCCGGACTGGAGGCCTGTGGTGGCAGTGGAGAAGAAGTGCTACTAAATGTAGAAGGAGGCAAAGGAGAATTCAGTTCTGCATCATCTTCCTCTGATTCCTCTCTGCCCTCCTCCTCCAACCTCTCTCCAGCCTCCTCCTTGTCCCCCCCAGTCGGTGTGGAGGAGGAGAAGAAAACGGTGTCTGGCTGCTCCAGGTCTTTTACTGGACTCAAGCTCTTCACCAGGAGGTAAGACAGAATGAGCTATCAAGATCCCAGAGAATAAATGGTTTGAAAAAGGTCTACCCTACTTCAGTAGTACCTGTATTGACCAGCAGGTGGAGTCATTGGTTGAGTCTTAGCCTTCTGCCCTAATGAGACAGGACAGGAAAAGAAAATGACACCTGAAAATGACACAGAAGCAGTTCACAGCATCCATGAAATCGCACAGGCACACATTTTTATACCATCAAACATACTGCCGATCCTCTTGACACACATATGGTCTTGCACATTTCTAGTATAAGAGATATTTAGCTCTAGACCATCACATACACTCATATGAAGGCACTTGTTTTATTCAAGGTTTAGTTAACACATTTGGGAAAGCATTGGATTTTTCCCACAGTGTTGTTTCCAGCTATGACGCTGAATCACGGCAGGATCTGTGTGTGTGATTACGTGTGTAACCTTGCCAGTGGGTCACTAGTCCTCATGTGAAAAGGGGGGACTATTCCCATGGCAACAGGGGCCGCAGGTGTCATGCCAACTGAAAACAATGACAGTCGTGCATCCAGCTTGACTAGGCACTCCAATAAACAATTCTCGGTGGTCGTGGGTGGGAAGCTAGGGATCACAGTGTAGCACCAGTGGATAACTTTCTTTGCCTGTTTAGAAGGCAGAAGATGTTGTGTAACCTATGCATGTGGATGTTGTATTACTGTGGTGTTGCCCTTGTGAAACTTGTACTACAAGTGCTTCTTCCTGGAAATAGTCACTAAAAATTGAATATTTGTTGTTGACCTCTTTTAGTAATACAGACTGCGATTTACAGGGTAAATACTGTATATTGCATGAACCAAGTATTAGTAAATGTTTTACTGGTACTTAAATGACTGTACAATGGAAGAAATGAAGACTGTGGGGAACAAGGGAGTCACAGTTGTGCATTTTATGGTACAAATTCAAAATTTTACAACCTTGTCCTTATATTAATTAAGGAGTAGTATGGGGTGATAAGCCACACATTATATTACACATCACATACAGTAGCTCATTCATAGTAGGCATGTGGCTTGTTGCAAATTAAAAGTTAATGATCAGTAATTGTATTGGAAATCATATTAGTCCATGCTTTAGTCACACCTCTATATTCTAGTAATTCAGTCTTGAATTACTCAAATAGTGTGCCGCACTAATGGGGTTTGACTCACCTCATTGTGTAATGTCACTCTATCTTTGAGTTTCCTCTTTCTCAGTATGTTTGATTTTTGAGTGTGCGTGTTGACATTTATCAGATGGTTGTTGCACTCATCTTGCCAAGGAAGTACGCAAAGATATTTAGTTCTCTCTCAGGCTCTCTCCCTCTTTCTCTCTGGGCCACACCCACTCTCTCTCTCTCTCTCTCTCTCTCTCTCTCTAACTTCCTCCTACCACACTGGCAGGTTTCTCACCCCTCCCCACTGCCTCAGTCCGTTAGCTCACTGCACTTTTGGGTTTAGTGCGAGCTCGGCAGATAGATGAGAAGGAGGGGTGGAACCATGAATGGATAGTTTTCTCCTTTTTCAGGTTGACTCCTAATTTATTCTTTGTTTCTTAGAGTATTTATTAGGATAAAGAATATATCATGCATTTAATTTAACATTGTTAAGTGTTATATTTAGCAAGGATTAATTTTACACAATGGTAGAAATACTTACTGTATTGATTTGGTGTGTTGGATTATAAAAATAAAATGAACAGTTTAGTCTACAACTCTGTGAAATTGAGCTGAAGTAATAGTAGGTCATTGTGTTTTTGTTAACGGGCTGCTGCAGTGCTGTGTTCTCCTTCATTTTCAGTCAACTCAGACATAAAGGGAGCATAAACAACTGACAAATAAGGCAAAAACATGGGTCATAATGAATCTGGCCAATGCCAATACTTTGGCCCTCGCACGCCCATGCTATCTCTCTCCTACTACTTTAGGTGTTATTCATGGTAGTCAACTACATTAAACTTTTGGAAGATTCTGTCTTCTGATTTAAACAAATTAATTTGTGTTTTATTAAGAAATGTCAATCCAAATACAGTTTCTCTATATGAAACAGTGTTTCAAAATTGTACTTCTTTCCTCACACTTTGATCACTTTATTTTTCTCAACATTTCAAATGAATAGTTAGCAGGCAGAATCCAGAGAATCACTAGGAAATTCTAGCAGCTACATTCAGGTGTAGCCATTTTTTGCTAAGAATACCATGAATTGCTTGCGCATGGTGTCGTTTTAATGATGGCGATGATTATTATTAATAGGAAAAACAACTATCAGCTTTGAAAGACAGAACAAGTTTCATCGCCAGTCATTGCTGTATTTTAATGAACATTTAGCTGGTGCAAAATTAAACCAAGGTTCTGAATGTAGTGATGGGCAGCTTGGAAAACTAATACGATACTATATTTAAAATGGCTCTGATTGATATAGAGCCCAAGTAAAAGGGAAACTTCAAAAGTCATTAAGGCACAATATCAGAGATGTTTTTAGGCAGCAGAGATTATAACTACAAAACTGAAAATATGACTTTAGTGATCAAGGATGAAACCAAGTTACAATGATGTACCTGTGATTGTAGTTTTATCCTGTTGTTTTTCACTATGTTAAAATCATGGTGGTATTGGTCTCAAATGTTCACTGCTGTAGGATTATCATTTTTTTGGAGAATTGGAAAACTTAGGAAATTGCTTTATTTTTTTCTTTTGAGAGGCTCGAAAAGCTTGCATAGATTTACAGAAGCTCTTGGAATAGAAGCTAGACAGGAGTGATGTTGTGACTTTGACTTCAGGTTTCATAGTAACAGCTGGCTGACTCTGGATGGTGTAATGCAAAATGATCACCTGACTTTGCATTTCCACTCAGCTGTCTGATTATTGTTATAGCATGTTTCTGCAGCAGCAGGCAGCTATAAAATTGAGACTGGAAACAGAGTAGGGGGGGGGGAAATAAAATGGTCTTCCATATTTGGAATTAGCTTATTTTGGAAGGGGTCCAAAACGAGCAAATTTAAAGGAGCAGCAGCTTAGTTTATTGTTAAACTGTTTTCTTTTATCTATTGTTTTCTCACATTTTTTCTTATTTTATCACTGTATTAATAATTAATTTTTAAACAGAATTTAAATCAAAAGGAAGACAGTCGGTGCTAACTGAAACAATGCTCAGGTGCCTGTACATGTGTGTCTGTGAACTGTGTATATTGTCAGTCTTTAAGATGACTCAAAAGCTGCAGTTTAGACTAAAAGCAGGTCACCATTTAGACTGGGAGCTTGTGGTAATGAAAGCATGAGACATGACTGCTGTTTAGAGTGCAGGGAGAGAGAGAGAGAGAGACCTAGTTTAACCACACACTAAACAAAAACCAGGTGACAAAAGTGACAGTTGCACAAAAGATGAGTCCTGTGGTGGAAAGTAACTAAGTACATTTACTGTACTTAAGTACAATTTTTGGGAATCTGTACTTAAGTATTTTAATTTTCTGCTACTTCACAACTTTATAGAGGAAAAGATTTTACTTTTTTCTCTACTACATTTATTGGATTAGTGGGACCATCAGCAAGCTGCCCAGCAGTAATTCAAAGTACTGTATATAACATAGTTTAATTAGCTCCACCTTTACCAGCTGCAACATTAAAGCAACAAAAACAATAATGCATCAGATATTGTAATCAGATATGATATACATCAATGTAAAATGTCATTCTACATATTTACAACTTCCATCCATCCATCCATTTTCCTCTGCTTATCCGGAACCGGGTCGCGGGGGCAGCAGTCCAAGCAAAGATGCCCAGACTTCCCTCTCTCCAGACACTTCCTCCAGCTCCTCCGGGGGAATGCTGAGGCGTTCCCAGGCCAGACGAGA